GCCCAGATTATGGGCTCGATCCCCAGTAGGGGGTGGGCAGGAGGCAGCCAATCAATGATTCTCTCTCTTCATCAATGTTTCTATCTCCCTCTCTCTCTCCCTCTCTGAAATCAATAAAAATATGTATTTTTTAAAGAATAAAAATGGGTAGACTCTTTCTATAAAGAATGTGTAGGAATGACCAATAAGCACATGAAAATGTGCTCACCATCATTAGGAATTGGAGAAGTGTTCATTAAAACCACAAGATAATGCTCCATGTGCTCTAGAATGACAAAAAATATATAATTTTTAACTCTAAGATTTCTATTGTGAGAGAAGATTTTGTTTTCTGATTTATTTACTTGAGAAAACCAAAGTCCAGAGAGGATAAGGGAACCTCATAAAGTCACAGAGCAGTCATTTAGAGTTTGAGGATTGGGACTGGGCATGAACCAAGCTTTCCCCACAATGAATCCTTTAGAGACTGGTATTCCCAGATGTCTCTGAAACCTCCCTCATAGAGCTCTGGGGATTGTGCTAGAAGCTGCATGTTTTCCTGGGATCCTACCCAGGCTGGCTGACTCAGGATCTAGGATGCCCTTCTCTCATTTCTTCTTCCTTAGAGTAGATGAGGCTTCCATATGCCAGGGGTCCCTTCTGCCTTAAATATAGGGGAAGATGCTATCTTTCCATTTGCTCATCAAATATGATTTCGTCAGTCTTGACAAGTGAGAAGTGTGAACAGAAAAATCAAACATCTACCTTAACATGAAGAAATAAGCAGCTCTTCTTGGCCCAGCTCAGGACTGATAGTAAGTCATTGGCCATATGTCAAGAGAAGCAGAATGGTCCTCTGTAAATTGTTTCGGGAATCCTGTTTTTGGTAACAGGTCTAATGTTGGACAGATTGCAGCAGCTCTTTGAGGTCTGTTTACTTGTTCATAAAATAAGACAGTTGTATTAGATGGCTTAATGTCCTTTAAGTTCCTAAAGGGTGGGGTGGTTAGATAGATTTGGCTATTGCCCAGATTATTAATTTAACCCTTTGGTCCCTGAAACCACAGTTTCCTAAAATTTTCATATACACCTGAGAGGGGCTTGATGTGTGAATGGAGCATATCAGATCATGTTGGCTGTTTTCAAATATATAAAAGCAAGAGAATTGGTGAACATTTCTCAGCATTGGGAAGGGGCACATGAAGATATGCTCACACTAAATCTAAATTCCAAGCATTAATTTCTTGTGCATCTTTTTAAATTAAAACAATATTTAATTCAAATGTAAGATATAAACAAACCAAGCATTAATTTCTTGTGCATCTTTTTAAATTAAAACAAAACAATATTTAATTCAAGTGTAAGATATAAACAAACCGTGAATTCAGTACTTGTGAAAATACACAATTGATTACTAATTCAACATCCACAATACATTTTTTTTAAATGTGTTTTTTATTTATTTCAGAGAGAGGAAGGGAGAGGGACAGAGAGATAGAAACATCAATGCTGAGAGAGAATAATTGATCAGCTGCCCCTTGCACACCCCCTACTGGGAATAGAGCCCGAAACCTGGGCATGTGCCCTGACTGGGAATCAAACTGTGATCAGAAGATCAGGAGAACGTTCATGGGTCAACATTCAAACACTGTGCCACACTGGCTGGGGCATTTTTTCATTTTTACAAACAATTTTGAAAACCTCCTATGTACCAGAACATATGCTAAGCAACCGAAGATCTTCATTAAGAGTCATCTGTTTTATTAACTATCTCTGTAAGTAAAAGGCAATGCTGGTAGCTAAACAATAACACCATACAGTTTCACTGTGGCTTAAAATGTCATTTTACTGTCTACCCATCCATTGATTTATTCAATAGAAGATCACCAAGTACATACTAAGAAGAAACAAGATGAATAAAAATGAGTCCCTGGTACTGAGGACCACACAGTCTAATGGAGATAAGCAATTATAAGGCAATATATCAAGTGTTCTACCAGAGACCCATATACAGGACTGGGAAGCACAGAAGATAAAGCAATGAACTCCAACATCCCCAGGTGTTAACACCTGCCTGAGCTCTTGCCAGGTGGAGAAGAGGAGGAGACATTCAGGGAGGTGGAATAGCTAAGCAGCAAAGGCATGCAGGAAAAACACGATGAGTTGTTTGAGGACTGTGAGTGATTCGTGGGCAAGAATGTGGAGTGGCATGGCATGCGGGGCAAGTGTCATTGTACAGACAGATGGGGAAGGGATCGTGAAGGGCTGATTATGTCATGATAAGAAATAGCACTGACATTTTCCTGATGTGAGGCAATAAGGAACCTCACAACAGCCTATGACACAGACTCAGTTATCCCTCTTCACAGGGAGGGAAAGTATGGTTCAGAGAAGCTAAATGAATTATTCAATGCGTATTATTAGTTTGGATATAGAAGGTGAGTCAAAATTTTTCTTCTTTACCCTATGCACCTAAGTATTCTCCTAGGAACACATAAATGAGTCTAAGGCAGAGGCTTTAAGTGTATAGATACCGTGAGAGTTCCATTTTGAAATTTCCATTTCCTATGCTCCCCATGTGATTGTGATACACTCCTCCAGCTTGGACCCTTGGCCAGGGTGTTAGACCATTTGTCATAATAATCAAATTTAAACCAAAAGACATATTGTTTTCCCAAAAGTTAATTGTTTTACATTTTATTAGTTGATATGCCCAGAATATCAAAAGAATCAGATTAATTCATTTTGTACATTTTCACTTGGAATCAGTGTAACTGTTTATAGTGGGTGATATGCTTCTAGTGAATAATGAGATTCCTGAAGGTTAAGTTACCCTTGAGCAAGAAAAGTGAAAACTGGAATAAATGTTCATTTATTTCCAATTCTCACTATAAAGGTGATACAGTTGGATGCATATAAAAGAATATGTCACTGTATTTCCTGCTATTTGCTAAGCTCCTAAGTCTAGATCCAGTTGCATTTGGGGACAGAGGAGAGAGAGATATCAGAAAGGAAAGAGTCTGGGCCTCTCAAGTAAAAATCATGGTTTGAGGCCTTAAGCTTGACAAGTACAGAAACTGGATCTTATCCAAACATTGGACAGAAGTGGACTGATTTACATCAATTCACACTCATAAGATTGATGCATAAGCCAATATTACAAATTATCCTCATTTGCCATGAACTGGAACTGCCCAATTGAATGAATATTTCAATTCTCTAAGGTGATGGATATGTTAATTAACTTGATTGCGGTTATCATTTCACAATGTATCTGTAATTATGCACTAAACATATTAAAACATCACATTGTACCCCTTAAATATATGCAATTTTTATTTGTCAGCTATAGCTCGATAAAGTTGGAATGAATGAATTTGCTGATGTTGCATTTTCTCCTTATTGAACATATGCAGGAAGCGGAGCTAGAGTTAGAATGTGGTTTGGTGAACACTGAAAAGCAGCATAGCAGATCAGAGAACTTAGGCTTTTGATTCAGACAATTTAACTTCAATTCCTAAATGTGTGGCTTTTTGAAGTTTCTTAACCCCTCAGAAGCTCAGTTTCTTAATAAAGATAATCACAGCATCTCTACACAGAGTTTATCACTTAAGAGAATCTAGTGGCCAGCACATGGCTAGTGCTAAGCAAGTGTTATTATTATTATTACTCTGACTTTTTCATTAACTCAGAGCAATGAATATGGATTGGTTAAACCTAATATCCAATATTTAGTTATGAGATTTGTTATGAGATTCCTGATGTATCTGCAATATGATTGCTATGGAAAATAAAGATATCTGAGTCTCAGGTAAAAACATCCTCTTCTCTGAACAGGGCTGGAAACAAACAGGTAGTTTGGGGGACGAACTAAGGATTTGACACCTTCTATTTAGCTTTGCAATATATCAGTCTAGTATCTAAATATAAGAAAGTCCTGTGAAAGCAAAGGAGTCAGAAGCTGGAATATACTGTCTATTAGACTTATAAATACGGATGAAGAGGTTCAAAGTGGGTGGAAAAGCCGGATGAGTGAGAATATCAATGTTGTCAGAGAAAAAGCACAATAATTCCCAGCCTTGTCAGAGCGAATGGAAGCAATATTTCATGCATTTCCTACAGCCTTTTCTTTGGAAAAGTTGGGAAGATTCGAAAGGGCCTGCATGGACTGGGCTATGATGACAAATTCCTGCTCCCTCACTTGTTCTTTCCTTCACACAGGGTCAGAGGCATTTGATTTTTGTTCTACTCACTTGTCAGAGCTGCCTTTCAGAGAGTACACCCTGGTCAACTTGACAGAACTCCCCCAATCTCCAAGCCTTCTGGATGGTCACTTGGATTAATTCAATGAATCAATCACATCCTTCATACTTTTAAAATTATTTTTTCATTACAAAGATAATACGTTCTGGTAAAAACTGAGTAATGCAGAAGGTCGCACCCACAACCTTCTGACCCATACTCACTTCTCAGAAGAAAATACTATTGACTTCTACACGGTGTTTATTTCTGTGTCCTTACTCATATACCAACATTTATGTTTTAATTTTACAAAAATGAAATTATGAATATACACACTGCTCTGAAGTTTCACTTTTTTTAAAAGTATTTTAAATAAATTATCCGATTATTTTATTATATATGATCAATTAATTATAATTAGTCAAAATTTTCTTTACTTAATGGCATAATTATTCAGGGAAGTTATAATCATCCAGTGTGCTGATAGGATGGGTGCCGTCCAGAGCACCTTCCATACTCCCTGCCATGTTTCATGGGGACAGCTGGAATCGTTTGAAGGAGCCTTGGATATCTGGTCAAGTGCTGACACCAATCTATAACTTTACAAATCATCTGATCCAAACGGTCTTTCCTAATGTGCATAGTTACAAATTCAAGCTCTCCCAAACAGAATTGTCTAAAACAGAACTTTTGTAGGGGCTCGAAAATTTTTAACACAGTTATATTTTACTTTTTGCTACTTATACTTAATACAATTTATTTCATACAGAATTCCAGACATGGAAAGAAGAAACCAGACCAGCATCCATGAGTTTCTTCTCATGGGCCTCTCTGAGAAGCCAGAGCAGCAGCCTCTCCTGTTTGGGCTCTTCCTGGGCATGTACCTGGTCACTGTGCTGGGCAACCTGCTCATCATCCTGGCCATCAGCTCTGACGTGCACCTCCACACCCCCATGTACTTCTTCCTGGCCAACTTGTCCTTCTCTGACATTGGTTTCATCTCTACAATAATTCCCAAAATGCTAGGTAATATTGGCTCAGGGAATAAGCTGATTTCTTATGGTGAGTGCCTTACACAACTCTATTTCTTTGGACTATTTGCAGATCTAGACAACTTTCTTCTGGCTGTGATGGCATTTGATCGCTATGTGGCCATCAGCCACCCCCTCCGTTATGCCATGACCATGAACTCCCAATGCTGTGTCCTTTTGGTGGCTGGGTCATGGGTGGTCACTATCCTCCATGCCCTAGTGCATACCCTCCTAGTGACCAGGCTTTCTTTCTGTGGCCCCAATATCATCCCCCATTTCTTCTGTGATCTGGTCCCCCTCCTGAAGCTGGCCTGCTCCAGTACTTATGTCAATAGCCTGATGCTCATCTTTGTAGCAGGAATACTGTTAATTGGACCCTTTGTCTGCATCCTTACATCTTACTTTTACATTGCATTGGCTATTCTAAGAATTGATTCCCCAAAGGGTAAGCAAAAGGCCTTCTCCAACTGCACCTCCCACCTGTCTGTGGTCTCTCTGTTTTATAGTACAGCTATTGGGGTCTATTTATGTCCTCCATCATCCACCTCAGGTGGAAAGAACAGAGTCTTCTCAGTGATGTACACAGTGGTCACCCCCATGCTGAACCCTTTCATCTACAGCCTGAGAAACAAGGATATGAAGGGGGCTCTAGGAAAGCTTCTCAGAAGAAAAACACTCTAACACTCTTTTCAGGACCAAGACTCAGAACTGAGAGTTGAAAATTGACCTCCGGAGAGCCCAACAACTGTAACTTCTCTAAACCTGAGACTCCTGTTTTTTCTCGTGTTTATATTTCACAGTGCAGACTGACATCTGAGGACAAGGAGAGGATCTGTGATAGCAGTAACCTCCAACCATCTCTGTGAAGTGCCCATGCTTTGAGTAGTGTACTACCCACTCCCACAACAGTACTTGTCTATTTTTAATGGATGACTAAGAAAAGTCCACAGGTGGGGGCTTGTATACATATAAAATGAAAATAAAAGTCCAAATTTTTTGTTTAGCTCACGTTATAAAAGAACTATAGAAGATATATATCTCTAGCTCAAGAATATAAGATTCATTCTGTCTGGTAGAATGAAATACAAAGGAAATGACCAGATACTTTACATTTAAACAGGCAGTGTTCTAGAGAAGAATAAGAATGAAGCTTTCATTTAAATCCTGGGTTCCAGTGTTGGCTTTGCCATCAATGAACTGTGTGACTGCTAGATAATCACCTAATGTCTCTGAGCCTTGGTTTCCTCATTTATAAATTAAAGTAATTGGATTATGTTAGTCTACACCCCTCCCCACATATACCCTTGTTCTAATTATATTTAGTGTTTTAGTGACAAGAACTTAAGACTTAATGTCAGAAGTTACAAGTCACAACCGAAAGTCCACCGCTTTTGTACTATGTAACTTGAGGAAAATTCTTTGTCTCAGTTCTGATTTCTTTTTCTGTAAAACTGAAATAACTCCATCATTGGATTCCTCTAAGTAGTAAATAATATGTTAACTAACTTGGATCACAGTAAATGCTCAATAAACAACACTTAGGCTGTTTCCATATCTTGACTGTCATAAATAATGCTACAATGAACATGGGGTAACTCATATATATGCTTACTGTGAGGATTAAATGACATACAAGCATTTGAACACTTTAAACAGAATGCCTGACACATAGTAAACACTCAACATATGTGAGCTGTTGCCAACTCTGTCCATTCGATGTCAGTGTTCATACTAGTATGTGTTTCTGATTTTTGAGCACTGACTGATATGAAATCTGATAAAGAAATGTCACACTGCCCTAGCCGGTTTGGCTCAGTGGATAGAGCGTTGGCCTGGGGACTGCGTTGGCCTGCGGACTGAAGGATCCCAGGTTCGATTCCAGTCAAGGGCATATGCCCAAGTTTTGGCTCAATCCCCAGTAGAGGGCGTGCAGGAGGCAGCCGATAATGATTCTCTCATCATTGATGTTCCTATCTCTCTCTCCCTCTCCCTTCCTCTCTAAAATCAATAAAAAAATGTTACACTACTTTCTAGGGGAACTAATGATTTGTGTTCTCAGAATGAACAGAGCTTAAGTAAGAGAAAAAAATGTCCATCCACGCTGGATACTGAGAATACTAGTAGTTAGAGAATTATGAGTCAGATCAAGAAGGAAAGCCTAAGAGAATATCTCTTTACCACTTTATAACCCTTATAAATCAACAAAAAACAACAACATAGCAACCACATAGAAAAAGTGAGCAAGGATGTAGCTGGAAAAGTCAGAGAAGAAATGCTAAAATAGTAAAAAAAAATTGCCCCCAGCAATTAGGAAAATAAAAAGTAAACCTCTTGTAGTTTATTTTTTTTGTCATTAGGTTGGGAAACAGCAAAGAGTTTGTAAATGGTGCTGTCAGTTCATGTGGAAAGGGCACTCTTATATGCCCTTAAAGCAGCGGTTCTCAACCTGTGGGTCGCGACCCCTTTGGGGGTCGAACGACCCTTTCACAGGGGTCGCCTAAGACCATCGGAAAACACATATATAATTACATATTGTTTTTGTGATTAATCACTATGCTTGATTTATGTTCAATTTGTAACAATGAAAATACATCCTGCATATCAGATATTTAACATTACGATTCATAACAGTAGCAAAATTACAGTTATGAAGTAGCAACGAAAATAATTTTATGGTTGGGGGTCACCACAACATGAGGAACTGTATTAAAGGGTCGCGGCATTAGGAAGGTTGAGAACCACTGCCTTAAAGGCTGTAAAAATTGGTGTTACATTTTTGAGGACACTCCAGTGGCACTGATGAGATTTAAAATACACATATACTTCCATCTAGCATTTCCATTTCTATAAAAATATATGTACATGAAGAGCCTGTAAAAGAATATCCATGTAGTGTTTCTTTTGTAATAGCTCCCCCCAAAACGGAGATAAGTGGCATGAGTAGGGACATTTTATAACTTCTGGCACATCTAATAATCCACAAAATACTTTTAAAATAATAAGGTAGGCCTGATGGTGACATAGGAGGACTATGATATATTGATGAGATAAACAAAGAAAGCTCCAGAACAAATGAACTAATTTCTGTGGAAACAAAATTGTACATATACATATGTGTACAGGAAAATGTGTTAATTGGGTACATGTCAAAACATTAACAGAGCCCTAGCCCGGTTTGGCTCGGTGGATAGAGCATCGGCCTGGGGACTGAAGGGTCCCATGTTCGATTCAGTCAAGGGCACATGCCCGGGTTGTGGGCTCGATCCCTAGTGTGGGGTATGCAGGAGGCAGCCGATCAATGATTCTCTCTCATCATTGATGTCTCTCTCTCTCTCTCTCTCTCTATCTTCCTTCCTCTCTGAAATCAATAAAAATATATATTTTAAAAAAAACATTAACAGAGATCCCCCTGGAGAGGAATGGGAAAAGTGAGAAACAGACTCTCAGTTTTGAATACACATTCACAGCTAAATATTTTGAAAAACAAGAGTGTATCACTTAAAAGAAGGCTATATCTTTCAGGCCTCAAGCAGGGAGATACCCATCCATGTTTTGACCATATCAAAGTTTTCCTGGGCTTTCTTTCCAGTGCCACAGTTTGGAGCTCACATCAGAGAACCCCATGTCCAGGCTGGTCTCCCAGGTCCTGGCTGCTCTCCTGGGATCAGCTGAGATGCCAAGCCACGGTCACTAATATTAACCGTGGAAGCACTGCCCCATGGGCCCCACTCCCCAGAGAAGGCAGTGAGCTCAGCCAATGACACACTTGGGAAACTGTGCTGCAGGAAGCAGGGGATTCATGTAGAAACACATGCTCAGTCCTCCCAAGGCCTTTACCGGACACGCTTTCCTGCCCCTGACAAGCAGAAGCACCCCCAGGAATCTAGCCGTTCTGCCCTTCAACCCCTTCCTGATACCCTTCTTTCTTCTGTGCTGGGCAACTTTCTCTGTCTTCTCCGAGTGGACTGCTCCGTGCTGCAGTCAAAACAAAACATGACGGCACGTGCTGCTGAAGGGAGGATGGACGTGCCGAGCCCAGCCCATTGTAGTCTAGTTGGGGATCTGCAGTAAGGTGAGTGCCTGCACTTAGGGCTGCACACCACACAGTGCTTTCTGAGCACCTTAGACTATTCCTACATAGGCTCCTAGTAATTTCCAGAGGGAAGACCATCTTTCTCAAATATTGTGCATACTGTGAAGTTTGTCTCTGACTCCCTAAGTCATCTTCCTTTTCCTCTTCTTTCCCTTCACAGTGCCTCTTCCCTACACCATCCTCAGATATGCTGTGTGTTCATGGACTCTCTCCCCTCCCCTTACTAAAACTTAACCACAAAAAGAGTGAATAATTCAGTTAGTCAAGAGTGTTCCACTCAGGGACATTATCCTGATTCAAAGAGAAAATATCCGATGGAATTCCAGAAAGCATCAATCAGCTGGGGAGGTATTATGGGTAATCAGGGTTGGATGGTCCAAAAGTCAGCCCCTGGACATGGTTGTCCACTTTGTCTTCTCTTAATGATAGGCCCAGACTTTTCTTTCCACTTCTAGGGATTAATGATCAAACAGAGAAACTCAGAGAATAGACTGCTATCCAAGTGCCTCCTCTATTTACAAAGCTCACTTTGGAATGAAAGGCAGCTGTATTATCAGAAAGTCTCTGCATTAGACTATTGGAAGTTATGGGGATCTATCTGTGACAGAGAGCCCAAGCTCCTATAGAAATCTAATGCGAACAATTTCTCACTGCTTCATAAGACTTGTCAAAGGGCTTTTATGTCCACGGTCTCTTATGTTTTGTTTTGTTTTTTTAACAAAGACTGTGGATTGAAAACAAGTACTATTCTTCCCTTTTCTCAGATGAAGAAACTGAGGGCCAAAATAGTAGTGATTTTAAGGTCTCAAAGAAAATTTTCATAGCAGATCTGAGACTAAAGCCCAAATCTTCTGATTCCTGGGTCAAGACCCATTCTCACACACCACACTACTGCTGCTGCTTCCACATCCTTAGCTAAAGCAAGATTCTTCTCTAGTAGTTCCCCATTCTTGGCTCCCCACCCCTTTGCCACACACCACATGATTCTCCAGGTCCCATAGAGAGCTGATAGGCTGCAGTATGGGTCAAGCAGGATAATCTCTGCCGGCTACGAGGCAGATGAGGAGGACTCCAAGGTTCCAGGCAACTCACCCTCCAACCATTTCTGGGCCTCTCTCTAGCCTTCTGGGGAGCTTTGTCACAGGAGTTATATGGCATTGCCCCAGGTAGCAGCCATAGTCTGTTAACTGTCAAGCAGAGTTGAGTCTCTTTCTTAGGCCTTCCCTAGAACTGAGAGGAGACATCCCATTTTTCCTGAACCAAGAGCAGGACAAGAATGAAACATGGGTGATACGGTAAATGGGTGAGGTGGGAAAGAGCATTGCTTCCAAGTTAGACAAATCCATGATGAACCTGGCTCCAATCCTGTGCTCTGTGACTTTGGTGGGGGCGGAGGGGTGTAATTCATCCCCTGGTCCTCCTTAATTTCATGATCTGAAAATGGGAATAATAATATCTACTTCCTAATTCTACAATAAGGATTAAACTAGAAAAACTATGATAGACACTTATCACAAGATAGGCCAAATTGCCCTAAAAGCAGAGTGGAAAAGGAAAGTAGGACTGCAATAGTTGGGGAAAGCTTAAA